CTTCCTCTCTTATATAGAGCTAACAGTACAGCAGGGAAATCCTTAACGCACTGAATATTCTCTCAGGATCATTTATAGTTTACAGTTTAGTGTAGAGAGCAATTTCTGGTTTGATATTTATTCCTTTATTAGTCTTTTATTATTCAACAAAAATAACACTTGGCGTCCTACTTGCCTTCTTAGGGACTTTAAGATCCAACGGCGCGACGGCGACAAGAACGTCGCTTAAAAAGTGAATTTGAGTTTTTTCAGTCTTTAGAGCGATTATTCCTACCCACTTACTTTGTCAATTGTAGGCGAACCCTCCTGAAGCTGAATTTCAAGGGACCATATTCAAGCTCAGAAAGAGAAATAAAATTTCGTCGTTGCTTGTTTACGTCCTCCATAAAACGCGAAATTAGGCATTTTCACGTCGTAGTCGTGCAAAAACAGGAAAAAAATGAACAAAAAAGTGTGTTGCACGTGCGAAGTTGTTGCTTTGCTAATTAAACCTATTGTTTTTTTGACGTTCTAGTTGTCGTCCGCGTCGTTGGATCTTAAACTCCCTAATTGTACAAACGACCGGTTTCAATAGACCGGCGAAATTTCTCATTTTATTAAAGCACTGAGGTTACGACAATTTCGAGTTAAACTGATTTCACGGGTTGTCAAAGAGTCCAGCGATTCCTTTTTCCCAGGTGAGCGCCGACTCATTTCGCTTCAATATTCAGGAATGCTCTCGATCTTTTTACGCTTTCATTGCCTTTCGCCCGACATGTTTTGCACGGCGTTTAGTCGTGCGAAACATCCACGAAACATCCACGCCTCGCGCGAGGTAACTTTATCCCGATTCTAAAAATAACTCGAGACGAATTCCCTATGGAATAGGGTGTATATGGGGGATGCCCTCTCTCTCCCCTTTATAGTCTCTTGCTGAGGACACGCCCAATCTCAGGTGACCTATTTCAGAAAATCGCGTTTTAACTGAGAAACGTGCATTTTGGCTGAATGCTAAAAATCTTAAGCATGAATTTTTCGTTAAAATGAAACCTTTAGATATGAGATTGGAAAGGCTGTTCCAAGAATCACATTTTCGGGCATATAAAGTTTCCCGTATTTTAAATTTTCGCAAAAAGCATGCTTACGTTTCTTAAAAAACAGGGTTTTTTTTTAATTAACTATGCGTGAAAAAGTGGCTATACTTTTTTCTGCCCCTGAGATTAAATATGCTTCGTGATACTTTCAAATTTTTATAGGAGGACGTAAGCCGTCTTGTTCCTGCTAAGAAACTTGTCCTTTCATCTTATTCTAATTTTGCTGAGATTACAATTTATACGACGTATAATGGAGTCAGAAACACAAGATCAAACATAGATCAACCATGCAAAATTATTTAGGCTAAGGAGAGATTACAAATCTACACAATGAACGACAACAACAACAACAACAACAATACCTTTATTCGCCTTGTACTTAATTAATTACATACACACGTGAAAGAGAAAAATATATATATATATATATATTTATTTGTACTTAATAAGGCCTGGAGCTGAAATAATCCTAAGATTTTCTAGCCAGTTCTCCAGAATTTAAAGTTTTAGAGAATTGAGATAGAATTTATAAGATTCTTAATCTCTTCTCGTGTAATACCCATTTTTGCGCCGTTTTGGACGGAAGGACCGACCGCCATCACGGCAAATGCAAATCCTGATATCGTTACTAAAGTATGCAAATGCAGATCAATGATATCGTTACTAAAGTATACGATAATACAGGGAATTTTATTTATTTATTTTTTATTCACAAACTTCGCCAAGAGGCCTAGATAACTAGCAGAGCAACCTCAACTACGAGGTCCACTGAGGAAAAAAATTAATTACTAATACATACAATTGACCACTCCAGAAATACTATAACATTCCATACTGGTCTTTGTTTGTCACCCCCAAATTTTGCATAAGCATTGTCTCCAGTTTTTCTTGGGAGTTAAAATGGCCCCAAGAGAAACTGAAAACAACGCTTATGCAAAATTTTGTGGTGACGAACAAAGAGCATTATGGTATGTTATGGTATTTTCTGGAGTGGTCAATAATGGTAATGCACTAGAAACAACCGAAACGGCAATAACAAACAATATTGGGGCAAAAATTGATAAAAGAATCAACAATACATTCGATCGAGCAACCTAGTCAATGGCCGACTCTTGATACACCCACTTTTATAGGCCTGGGGGGGGGGGGGGGGGGGGGAGAGGGGGGAGGGGGCAATTCAAAAATACACTAGAAGGACAACAATAAACATAAAAATGAGAATAGGCACAGCTTAACATATAAAAAAACTAGAAAATTATGTTTAAAGAAAAAGAACAGAGTGAAACACAAAAAGAAAAGAGAAAAAAAAAAAACAGAAAAAAAAAAAAAATTGTACAGCAAGCAAAAGGCGTGCACCAGGCTCGCTGGCGTGTGACTGGGGAGGGCGCGGCAGGGGGGAGGTGGGGGGGGGGGGGGGGGGGGGTAGGAGGGGGGAGAGGATGATGTGGACATCATAAACAGACTTAGTAGGATACAAATAGTAATTACAGTGCGACTGGGAAAACCGTAAACACTTAAAATATCTCAGGAATGTTTATTGTGTTATGACCAATCACAGCAAAGATCAAAACACGTGAATGCAGTTTAATTTTCTCACGCCTGATTGGCTTTTTTCTTGCAACACAATACCATTCAAGAAATATATCTGGTGTTCACGATTTTCCTGGCTTGACTTGTAAAAAGTTCTCTTTGTTAAAGTGCGCTACTGAACAGTCAAAGGGTGGGCTGGTAAAGTGTCAGTCCAGATTATTGGGTCTCTGCAGTGGAAAGTTATTATTAAAAGTTGTAATAAGGCCAACAAGGTTAGAATAAATATAAGAAATATTTACAGTAATACTTGACAATAAATTATCATTATTTCGTAGTGACTACATTTAGAAATGCAACAGAATAACCTACCCAGCCGTACTATTAATCAGCTGAGGGGCGGATCCAAAAAGTTCAGAAAGGTGTGGCCGGGACACTTGCCAGAGTGGTCTGTCTAAGTATAGGGTCTTTAACTCTTTTACGAACTATCCTTGTAATAAATAAATAAATAATAAATTAATAAATTAATTAATTAATTCAAGGTATACATTTACATTCTCAGTTCATTTTCTTTTCAGCTGCCCTGGTTGATCACTCTAAAAGCCTTGAGGATCATATTTCTGACTAATGTGCTTCAACCGCAGGTCATTTGATTATTTTAATATTTCATATACGGCATTCACCTTCATCTTCTAAAAAAGCTGCAATAGGTTTTCATGACAGAAGCATTAGAAATGGAGTTATGTTTCCGGAGTAAAGCATTCGACAACGGAACAGAAGATGACACGGACAAGCCTCACTTGTATGTCAGTCACAAAATAGGACTGGGAGAGAGCTTTATGATTGGCTCAAAGTTTTCCCTTTTGTCGATGGAGGCAAAAACCAATAAACCAATCCAACTGGCATATAAGAATTGTACCTTTTTCTGACGGAAAAGCCAAACAACTCAGGACTCAAGTGAATCTAAAGTCGAGGAGAATTTTGACTTCTAGTTTACAGTGCCACCTAGATAAAGTTGACCAATCGGATTACAGGAAATAACAATACATTCCGAGAAAGTTAGTTGTCAATCAATCATAACCGAAATAAACAACATATATCGAAACCAACAGTTCTGACTTTTTGAACCCGCTGAAGAAAGCCCATGTTTCCTGAGAGGTCCGTTAGAGTGAATGACGCCGGCAAAAACCGTAAACGTTAATTAAATTTTTGACTTGAGGTCGTGATGTTATTGCAATGCGCGGCAATGGCAGCAAAGAACTTGCTGATAGATGACAAAATAACAGCTTCTGTCAAACAAATATGTCTCCTGGGTGTTACACCCAATTGGTAAAACGTTGCCATAGAGAAATGAAAAAAGGAAAAAGCCAACTAGGAGTTAATTAGGGTAATTCCAGGCAACAGGCGTTTTGTGGAATTTCAGTTCATATACAAGCACAAACCCTGCACGTTTAAGATAAACTTGTTGTTTAGATCTCGCAATGCAAGAAATGGATATTGAAAAAAATCATTGTCCACTTTAAATGTACTACAAACTGCTAGAAATTATACTGTTTAACTTTAAGTAAAAAGGCAAGCCATCTTTTGTTTAATATTCGCGGTCATGTGACCGTCCGACCGCTAGTGTATGAGCCGGTAACCTGATGTTGCACATCCATGTCAGTCAATCGACAGTTGTCAAAAACAGGATATCCGCGGACATTACATAACCTTTACGCGGGCTCACATGTCGACCCATCAAGGTAACGAAGTTATCCGCTGACAAGCTACTGGTTTTTCACTGATCACAGGCTCAACTTCAAGTGGATTACAAGTTTATTGTTTGAAGCAAATTATAAATTCATAAACGGGAGCTTCGCCTCTAGCCTTGGCTAAATCTCATATATTACATACAGCCTAAAAACAAACAAATTTCAATCCTCACAGGAACTAACCCAAAAAGTATTTTTCATCCAGAAGTGGCAATGGAATTAGTTCAGGGGCGGATCTAGGGGGAGGGTGCAGGGGGTGCGCACCCCCCCCCCCCCACTGAGATGACCTGCGGTTTTCTAATACAACTGGTATTCTGCCAAAAAAAACCTATGTGGTTTATTGGTGTTGAAGTAGAGCAAGAGACGAGTGCACCCCCTCCTAAAAAAAATCCTGGATCCGCCCCTGTAGTTGTACTTCTTCCGTCTTTGTTATTTAACTGGGACTAAACTTGTTACTAGAACAGATCCACAGTATCCTAGATAAGATGTTGTATGCCTCGACATAACACCCGAGGGCATCAAAGTTTGTTGTTGATTTTTGCGTCAGTTCTGCTTTAGGTACCGCTGTGTTTAAAAATACCGTTAAGCCCCCTCCTTCCTCCCCTCGTTAAACCACAGGAAAGACGATAACTTTGCACATTTATCGCATTCAGGGGGTTCCTAGGCATTTTCCAGCTTTAAGCCTGCAACCAGAATGTTGCTGATATACGCTTGTTAACTTACAACGGTACATGACCGGGGTTTTAGAGGTCGTAAAGAAACTTTAGTTGGACCTTTAAGTTACAATCACTTTAAATAAATGTTGTATTTCCCAACTTCTATACAATATCATGTTGAACGCAAAGACAAAGCTGTTTTAGCGTAGCATTCCAAAATGTAAGGCCGAGGCCTGGCGCAAAACTCCCGGACCACCCTGTCTGTGTCGATGCTCTTGTCCCTGTACGCATGAAGAAGCGCAAGCCCAGATGATCTCTCTGCTCGTATAGTAGAGCGCAAGTACGTCTTGACCCTTTACATACAACTAAATGATCGTTCTGGAGTTGCTGTCGTCACTGGCATCGTCAAAATAATTGTGAGAATGAAATTTCCCTCAAAAATCTTTTAAGCCCGTGCTTAACTGGCTTACAGTCAGGTGCGCCTCTGGCATTCATAGCGCATAGGTTATAGACAGCATCTGATAAAATTATAACCTAAGAAACTAGGAATCTCTTCTCCCCCTTTGATACTTGTTGAGTATTATTACCCTTCTCCAACGAGAACTCTCGCAGGTTGAAATCCTTCGTTAATTAACTGTACTCGAATTCACACACCATCTGGCATCGCGACGAAAAAGCACCTTTCCTTGGGTTACTGATCATGTTAACCAAACGTCACCTTGTGGAGCACGATGGCCTGTGTACCATACGGAATAATAAGAGGGAAACCAAACTTGGAGAATTTTGCTGAAACGTAAATGCCGGCCATGGCATTTTCCTTACTTACTTTACCAATTGTTTCAATTTGTACTTGATTTCAGCTTCAAGTATAAAAACGAGACTCTCCAAAAAAGACAAACAAAGAAACAGAAACAACGATGTAGGTAAATCACTCAATAAATGCAGATAATGATAGCTGTTTCCACCCTTAACTATAAATAACTTTCATATCTCTTTGACAGCTATTATATCAAAGATGGCGGCCATATTGAACGATGACGTCATTCCGTGACTCTTGGCACGTCAGCGTCTCACTGTCTTTACTTCAGTAGGGACCTAGATATCGATTGTAAGTCGGCATAAGGACAGGCTACAGATCGATCATTCAATATGTTCACTATCCGATACATCGTTATCTGGCACAGTTGCGTTAGACATTGGTACAGCTGTTTAATTGACCGAGATGATGACCAGATCCAGGAACTGCAACTCCTAAGACGATCATATACCTATAGCCTGCTGTAGCCTGGGACCTGGCTCCGCAGTGGAGGAAAAGGGGAAAAAAATTGGTGGCGGCGAAAACAGTCGAGCGCCACGGAGTGTGGTCTAAGGCTGCCGTGGTTACTACCGCAGCCCTTTTACAAAGCGCTGGTAGCCTATAGTGTTTTCTTCAGCAAGGAAACCAAAAAAGTCGCTATCGCGAAACTATTTAAGGTCCCTATACTCTTGCCTTTTAAAGAGACAAGAAATCGGTTTTTCAACTGAGAATTTGACGTCATGACATTAAACTGAGGCTTCGCTAGAACAAAATGGCGGACTTCCCTGAGTTGACTTTGTTAAGTCCAGGCTTCTTGGTTATATGGGATTATACAAAATTGGTAGGTTGTACGGAGTAGAAATCTTGCTACACAAAAATGTTAAGAACCACTGCCATTAAAGAAATTCAAATCAGATTTTCTCCTTTACGTTAAATAACTTTAACACCAGAAGCTGATGTCTTTTAGAAGACGGAAGTAGTAGAAAGAAAATTAATCAATCCATCAATCAATCAACCAATCAATACAATATAGACGTATAAAAGGAACTGAGGAGACTCAATGCTTTAACATCATTTTATTTATAAGAGATCACAGTACAAAGTAGACTCTCCGTACCTATAACCAAATTTTGCGATCGGTAATTGATAAAATGTTCGTTGAAACGCTTCATTGCTGGGTCGGAACACATAAAAACACTTGAAGTTTCTCCAGTAAGTCTCAGACTTATCAAAAATTTAATAACGTACTGCGCTAAAGAGAAGCAAGGTGTACTTCACGACGTAAAGCAAAGAAAGTAACTTTCAACGTTTCTTTGCCCGATGCTGAAAATAAACCATTTTTTCATAGTTGTAAAACTTTTTCCCCTGCTCAGTGAAAATTGACAGGGTGCTTTTTCCGATGTACAAATCGACCCAGGAAAATGAACTGTTTTCCCCTAGAAGCTTTGTTTATAACGTTTCGAACACCAGGAAGAAAAAATGATTACTTTCTTCAACAAAACGAGTAGGTTAAAAGAACTCTACAAATAAATATATGGGCCAATCGTTAACGTCTTTATCTAACACAAGGCCACAATTTTGAGGATAACTTGAGCGCATTGTATTAAGCTGAACTATCTTTCCATTCCCAAAAAGTGTTATTGGCAACTGTATACTTTTTCATATTCTAAACTACACATTGCGTAGATTATTTACAACACCGTTTAGCATTAATCTCACGCATGCTCAGAAGCCAAAAGTAGAATTGTACTGAACCATGGTGTAATAAGAATCGACAGATAACAAGCCGAGAACTATTACTTTAGCGCATTTATCTTGCACAGTTAAATCCCTACGTTAAGTAATACGCTGAGTTTTTTTCCCAACTTACTATAAATTCTAAACATTTTACATAACTTCCCGCTGAATCACTCATTTAAATAACAGTAATGAATATGAACGCGTAGAGATTACTATATCAAGAAATGAAGTTACCGTTTAACGATTAGCTCCTTCTTAAAAAAAGAAAGGAAAAACGTATAAAGAACATTTTTCTCGTAAAAGAAACAAGTAATTAAAAAAGCTCACATCAGCGCAACCTTCTGGCTAAATAATAAATTGACCGATTTGATTGGGGCAAAGTTTACCCTTCTCCCAACCCTTCTCTAAATTACACGTCGATACAAATACCGTAAGTGACCCACATTCACTATTTCAAAATAAAAAAGGTAGGAAAAGCTACCTTTTCCTAAACCGGGAATTTAAGGAATAATTTTGATAACACCCCTACGATTTTGTCTCTCTAAACTGCGACAATCTATCTTAGATCACGCTAAAATAGTATTCATTAACTGTCTGATACAGACAAACATTGTAACATCTATCTAATAGATAACACTTGTTTTTCAAGACACTATTTCATTAAAAATCATGTACTTGCAAACTTCTGCAACATAATAAGCCCAGGTTTGTGAATATAGGTAGTAATAATGGAATACTACAAAACTGATTAGATTTAGGGCTCTTTTGGTTTTGATATTTTTTTGACCTTGTACAAAACCATTTGTTCGTAAGAACGTATTTTTTCCTTAACGTGGCTAAAATAAAAAGAGGAAGCATCTAATTTATACCCTTGCCAATATTCATGTCAGAATCGTCAATATGAGATATTTTAAGATATCACTTATATATGAAAATTATTTGTATATGAGACAAACTTATCTAATAATGTACATTTCAACCTGAATTTAAGCAGTAATATATAAAATTTCACATAATCACTTTCGTACACAAAGCTTGTAGGTATAAAATATGGTCATCAAAAAGACCGTATACACACAAAAATAGATCTGTAACAATAATAACGAAACAGGAAATTGATTTAGTGTCTAATGTCTAGACTCTTCAAAAAACCCAACCCATTTTATCTTGTACGTTGCAACAGTGCAACACTCAATCAAAAGTCGACCTGCCAACCTTGACAAGATTGTCAGTGTTCAACACTAAGGAATTGATTTTTGTTTTTTAGGTACATGAGACTAAGCTACCACGCACTAGACGCTATGTACAACCCATTCTAAGGCAGAGCAGGTTTTTCAATAATTGCATGCCATTTCCGAATAGATAGTTATTTTGAAAAAAAAAATATTGTTTATATATCAAATATATAAAAGATAAAATACACGTATGATTACAAATGGATACGTAAGTTTAAAAAGCGAGTATGTTAGACTGCTTTACCGATAAAATTCAGACTTACTTACTACTTGTACTAAGGTTAGAAAATATCAAATACGACGTTAAAATTGCCCTTCTATTTAGGATAACAGAGTACACCAATAAAATATCAATTTTGTTTCAAAGGTAAGGCAGTCGTGCAACTGTAATTTCTAAAATGATTCGTGCGCTAATAGTTAAAGACTGAAACAAACATTTATAGTTTACCAAAAAATATAACTTAGCCGTAAACCAAATAAAACTAGAGGATTAAGCACTAACATTATTGGCAAATTTTTTTTAAAATATTAATTAAAATATCAAACATAGATTATGTTGTGTTGGGATTCTAAAAAAAAACATTTCTGTACATGTACACACACAGATCAATAAAATGTGTCCTAGAAAACAAAATACATTGTAATCATTTTGCTTAGCGCATTCATAGTAGTTAATTAAAAGGGTAAAATGCAACGATTGTTTTCTAGGATACTGTCAAGGCTGCAAAACAGATTTGAAGCAAAAAATGTACACAGATGAGAGTATTAATGCCTGGAAAGTAACCATGGATTACACTGAAATACTTTAAATAATTGCTGGTTGAGGAAAGGAAAACAAGTTAATAGTAAATTATATATACTTGTACTTGTGTAATGATAGAATTGTTTTAGCTGATAATAAACAAAGCTATTCTATAAGTCAAATATGTTGTTTAAAAATTGTGATCTTTTGTAAAGGTTAATATTTTCATAATAATTTTTAAAAAATAAGTATTCACACTGTACACACAATATAACTACCCTGCTAATGCAGTATATCTCGCCCATGTTTACCGTTGATGACACATTCACAAAAAGGACATAGATCACTAAAAAAGGGCAGACTGCCCACGATGGCTAAAAAAGTGCCCTCTGATGAATGCAGATTTCTGATTAGATTTACCAAAATAATCAAGTACAGGCTATAGTAAATACTAGTTGTGCAATCTAGTGATTAAGATCAGTGCAATTTCTTGTAAAGATGGTATATAATAAGATTCCACTGTATCTTGTAATTCGAATCGAATAGAGTAATAATTGACATATTATAATTTGGTACAACTGGAATTCCCTTAATTCTTCCAAAACGGAATTGTTTATTGGGAATGAAGCTTAACTTTAAGAACAGTCATATTAACTGGATAAACACTGCATCTGTAGGTAATAAACCTTCTTTTTTGTGTTTAATTAAATCCTTCTCCTTTGCTACAAAATATTAAATACAAAGCAGCCTTGACAGATGATAGAAAGATAGCAAAGTAACTATTAATGTTTAACAGATACGTGTAAAAACCTGTTTCTTTACACATGATCCAAGGTGTCTTGCAGTTTAAGTGAAAGAGATCCAGCTCCAAGCTTTTGTAATGTCAACTTCTCTGAAACCATGAAATTGAGCTGTCCAACATTTGAGGAAAATGGCTTGTATTACAGTCACCTTAGAGATGGTCTTTTTTCGGTACAAGTTCTTGCATGGTTGTACGTAACTTGGAAGTTCTTCTTTATAGAAATGCGTTTCTCAATAATCATCGCCTTAAGTAAACCACAAACACAGAACATAACAGAGTAACACACAACATAAAACCTGGCACTTTGCAAAACAATTTAACTTTTTATCCTAAGTCACCAAGAACTAAGACAGAAAGTGAAAGTAACGTCATCGAAAAATTTTCAGTATAGGAAATTCCAAAACGAATGTTTCGTCCGAATCGGTCGAACTTCATCAGCGATGTGTCAGATGGCGTAACAGAAAAGTTGTTTCATATACCCTGGAGAGGAGAGCCTTGGAATCAAAGAATTTGTTTGCTGACTGCGTAAGAGATAACTAATAAAACGTTTTCGTATCCACTACACAATGATGCAAACCCCAGAAATTAAAGGGAAACACGAGGGTCACATGGTACTGATCGACGCGAAGCAGTAACAAAATCACGTAGAGTACACGAAGACTGATTTGAAACAAGTCCCCGATAGGCTTAATAACTGGGTCCGTTGCAGGGATGTGTTGTAAAACTGTACACACGAGGCTTCATGGCTTCACACCCCTAGGATATCCCTACCAAATGCATCTAATAATATATCCCTGGGAGAAGTCCTCTAACATATCCCTGGGATATGTCTCTGCAAACATGACCCCTCGTGTTTTGGTAACAATTTGGAAACAACTTTTTTCAGACTCGAATTGATAACTAATGCTCTATGTTTCCTTTCAGATATTTTCAGTTATGGACGGCTACGATGAAAACGGACTTGAACTCTGATGTTTCAGAGAGATAGATAGCACAGACTTATCACTTCTCATTCTTGCTTTTCTAATATTTGAGAGACACATTCTTGAAATTCAACCTACGCGTATTTTGACCTTTTAATCCCAGAGTGGACCAGATAAAAGAAAGTATTAGGTTTCAGTTGAATGATATCCTCGAGATCCAAAATTAAGAATCACTGTTTGTATAATGACAGCACCGCAGCAAAGTATTGCTCGGTAGCTTTCATTTGAGTAGTAACATTGCCTGGTTTCACCCAGACTCATACGTTAAAACAAGAGAGAATTATAAGACAGAGAGAGAATCTTAGGGCGTTGGCCGAGATATGTGAATTTTACTAACAACTATTTCTAGAGGTTGCAAGTGAACGGAAGTATAACCCCTAAGACGTCCGCACATTTTGATCGACTGTTTGAAACGTCATCAAGTCTACGCGCGACTGCCTCAAAGCAAACAGTGCGGGATAGGGACCTTAAGATCTGAGGACGGCGACGGCAGAGAAAACGTCGCTGAAAAAGTGAATTCGCGTCCTTTCAATCTTCATAGCGAACCCTTCCAAAGTTGAATTCCTAAGAACCATATCCAAGTTCAGAAAGAGGGAGGAAATTTCGTCGTCGCTTGTGTACTTTCCTCTGTACAACGTGAAATTAGGCATTTTCACGTTGTAGTCGTGCAGTGACGGCAAAGAAATCTACAAAAAAGGGCAATGGACGTACAAAATTGTTGTTTTGATTATTAAACCTATTGCTTTTGTGACGTTCTCATTGCCGTCGCCGTCGTCGGATCTTAAGGTCCCTAATATTGTAATGGCGACAGTTTAAATGAATTCTCTCATGACAACACTGAATAAAAGTTTGCGGACTTCTCCGGAAACCGACTCGCAGTTAATTTCAAGGGTTTAATTGGTCTAAAAATAACTTGGTGAAATTCACATATCTCAAGAGCTAGACTGGGCGTTTCACTCTCCGTCTCATTATTATCTCTTAGTTAAAACCACGTTAGATATCTCCATTATTGACTCCATTATTGCTAAATTATACCTTAACAGAGAAGAACAATACAAAAGGACATATAACCTTGTTGATCTAAACCCCATCCCCAGCCAATTGGAGCAAAAAAGAAAAAAATGGTAAAAATTTCATTACATAAAGAACTTCTTGTTAATAAATTATTCTCTTATATCATACCAATCAACCCACTAAATGTTTGCTTTGATATAGAGCCAGTATAGCGATAAATCGACCGCTTTTACCCTTAAAATGCGAACAAAATTGTTCGGGATTTATGATTAAGCTTATTAACAGAAAAAAAAAAACGTGAATAACGATAGGAGGAAATCGCAGTTTTGGGAAAATATCTATAAAAAGTCGACAAACTAATATCATAATGCTTTTCTTGTGTGGATAAACATATTCAAGCACATTAAAAACGATACTAAAACGCTGTCGAGAAAAGTTCTATCAACATGAATCAGTCCACATTTAAGTTAACTAACAGAAAAGCAGAAGTTAGACTTCTATCAGATGTACTTATCTACACAAAGGCTTCTTGCCAAAAGTGATTTATTTACAAAGGCCTTTTTAAAGATAGTTGATCAGTTTCCCCTTCTAATAATTTGGTCCCAAAGCCAGGTTTTATGTTCAAAACAACAACATACACATCACAACAACAGGACATCACACACACAAAAAAAGTCAAAATCACGGAGAAGTTTCTTGGCAAAAAAGAAAAATCATCAGAGAAAGTCAACTGTGACTTGGCTGTCGTCCACTACGGTTCTGAAAAGAAGTAGAAGTAGAGGTAGATTGAAGCATCGATAAAGGGGGAATTCTTGTTTAAAACAAAACAAAGAAACTTGAAACAATATTAAGTGTCAGGTTACCTGTGAAATTTGCGGCGACAAGCCAGTGCATGTTCATTCTTTTCAAATGTCACCAAAGCCTTGTGTTTTGTGGTAGACATCTTAAGTTGCTGGGAATGTAAACACACAAAAGTCACTCACTAAACAAACTAAGTTATTTTATCTTATTTACTCACATGAACTAGGCTTGTTACAAATTAGTACAGCCCGCAATCCTATGGTGTGACCATTCAAATGAAACATCTTCAGCAGTACTTTCACATGGTACTATTCATCTAGTATATAGTCTTAACTTTTGAGTCTGTGGATGGAATCCTATCCATGGTGTGACCATGATTTCACATCAACCCTCTTCAACATGATACCATTTATTTACTATTTGGTTTTAACTTTCGAGTGTGTAGACGAAATTCTTTGGTTTGACCACTGAAAAGAGAGCTCGGCTCTTCACAAGTTCCTTCACATGGCACCAGTTCTTTTTAGTATTTTACAAAATAGAATTTGTGAACATTTTTCTGGAATTCTTATTTTGGGACCTGTTGAAAGGGTGAATTATACAGTTTCTTCTGATACCTGAATTGGTCCAATGCCTTGCAAGAGCTCCTTTAGCCGGCTTGGTGTGATATTTTCAGGCAATGAGCCAATCACAACACGGTTTGAAGGTTTGCCGCCACTTGATGCCTTTGTGACCACAACACGGTTCGCTTTTGAGTCAGGCGTGGCGCTCGACGATTTAGTCTTGCTCTCAGAGGGCCCAACCACAATACGCTGTTAAAAAAAGAATATACAATGGTCGTGGTTATAGACACCGTGAAAAAAGCAATCTCTCGTAGTACATTTTTCGTGCTGTTTCCACAAACAGAAGTAAAAGTGGTGAAACTCAAACCGGTTTCCCGCGCTACTCGGGGCGCACAGCGCGTTTATTACGCGGGAAATTTCATAGGCACTGTGCTGATTGGTTCTTTTATCGTGATCTCCGACTCGGTAGAAGACACGGTCACTCTCTGAAGTTTTTGACGTTTCTACGGTTATGTCACAAGGTTAAGTTATCTTACGAAGAAGTTTTCACACGCCGTTGTGTTTTACTGATGTAAAAAAGGTGTAGTGTTCAGCATTCGAAAAGAAGGTTATTTTCATGGAGACTGAGTTTGAAACTGATGATATAAACACTCCACGAAGGATTCTTCCTAGAACTGAGCAAGCGTGGACCGCGTAGAACTTGTTCAGAAAATATTGGACGGCCTTTCTTCGCGTAATCCTTTACGCATTCTATTCAGAAGAGCTCCATTTGTAACCACTGACTCATAAGAAAACAACTTCCTGTAGTTCGTATTGAACATGACCACGTGGCGTGGCACATTCACAGCACCGAAGAATTGTATATATTTTGTTTAATCGGCGAGGAGCAAATTTACAACTATGTAGCTATACTGTTTAGTAGACAACTATTTACTACCATGGCGCACAGATAGCATTTTAACGCGTCGTAGTGCGATGGAAGACTTTTATAGCGTATAATTAAGTTGACTCTACGGAGCTAAAGTTACTATACAACCGCCTACATTTAAAGATTCAAAAGACCTTTTGTACTAAATATAGCGTACCGATAAACCAGAGGTACCTTGGTGATATATATTTATATTCATTTGTAGTACTACACCTTACAATAATGTTTTAATCAACAATTCGCGCACACTTCTAACTTTTTCAAAAGGAAAACTATTCAGTAGTCTCTGAGACCTTGAGAAACGTAACCTTACCTTGGACGAATTACTTTCAGAATGCCTAGTTTCCCTGCTCTCCCGTCGGTGAGATGACCTATCCCTGCTTCGACTTCTTCGATGGCTGTCCTTGGACTTATCTTTGTCCCTTGTTCGATCTCGCTCTTTTCCTTTGTCGCGATCCCCTCTATCTCTATCACGATCTCTGTCACGTGACCTGTCATGACGCGCATCTCGAGAATCGTGTTGTTCTCGTGGATCTCGCTCCCTCTCTCTCTCTCTTGGTTTTTCTCTGTCATTTCTTTCGCGGCCTCTGTATGTGTCACTGCTTCTATCAGGTCGTTCCCTGTGGAAACATTATGTCATTGCTGCACTTAGGGGATCTTTGACTGTATGTACTATGATAAGCCTCAAACTTAAAGATTGTTTCAATTGGAACATCTCAAAGTGTCGTTATTGTAAGGAACAGATTCCCCATATTTAACTCTGCCCTTTGGCTGACGGTCACAATTTGAAAAGCTTTTCGAGGTTGTGAAAACCATAGGCACAAATAAACTCTCGTGTCTGTAGACGAAACACTGTACAGAAACTATTTTGCAGTAGTTTCACACAATTTCACTGGTACTTTTTAATTTATTAAAAATAGAAATAACGATTTTCCTTAAATCTGGTTTTAGACAGTCTTAATGTTTGAAGAGTTAACCAAGCAGAAGGAACTTTACAAACCTTGGTCTGTCCCTCTCTCTCTCACGACTTCTGTCTGGTTTTTCCCTTTCTCGTTCTCTTCGACTGTCCACATTTCGTCTTGATCGTGGCGGTGGTTTTGCTACGCGTACAGGTGACCGCTGCTGAGGAGTTCGTGGCGAGACTGACCTTGAAAATGATCTTGACCTAGATGATGACCTAAATAAATACAACATTGAACTCGATAAACCAAACTCATATGCATCTCGCCGAGTCTTGGGGTTAGCTTGGCTATTAAAAAATCTGTTGGTTATACATGTACACCATGGCATAACTGGCATTTTCTTCACAAACAACAGAAAAAGATCAGAAAAAAAAAACAGCAAAACAAAAATCTTTTCACTAGAGATCCACCAAGTTTACAAACGCAAAAGGCAGATTTAAGCGTTTCAAGCAAGACTGTTTAACTTTTTAATTTGCGGAATAAGTTAACAGAAAAAAATCAACACATTTCACTGGTGTCAGATGATGAAATCGAAAAACGGCCAGTTGTTGATGAATTTGACTTTAAAACCGTTTACAGGACATTAATATTAACAATGTTTTAAAACAAATTTACGAGCATTTACATAACGATACGTAAAAGAAAAAGAAAATCTTTGGAGATAATTGCATAGTGGCCAAACGAGCGACAGCTTTCGAGTTGGCCACTGTCATGTTAGCCGTCGAATCACAACCCAAGATTTCTCAATATGGTTGGATAAACGGACATTCAAGTTAAAGTTCCCTAAATTTTTGGCCCTTGGCGTACTTGAAATCATGGCTATCTTGGATTGGTATCAGGTCACCACCGCCCCAAATTTGATTCTAGAAATAACGCAATGACAATGCACCTTGATCGAGATCTTGACAATGACAATGAACGTGAACGCGACCAAGACCTTGCCGGTGATCTGGAGTAAGAGCGAGACACAGATCTTGAAGGCGATCTTGAAGCACTGCTGAAGTCACTGTCTGCGCTATCTGCACTGTATCGTCTACGATGCTTCTTTGACTTGTGGCTCTAATGAGAGGAAAATAAAAGAAAAATTTAGATTATAATCTACTGGTTCACGTAATGTGGATGTGTGACTCTCAACTCTGTGGTGAATATTTACATCGCCGCTTTGCGTCTCGGTAAATCTACCCTTCCGCTAGCCACCTCCACTTCCGTGAATAATTGTTATATATACTCTCCATACTGATCTTCATACATTTCTTTAAAGAATTAGTTGAGAGAGTTAACAGATCAAAGCATTTTCTCCTTAGTGATCATTTCATTAGTTCTCATAACCATTTCCCTTGGCAATATATGGATATTGTTAGGAGAAAATTGATGTTGGTCAGTATTGCGACTTAAAGTGACTGTAACTATTGGGCTGATGGATTTATAATTTTCCATTGTTTTTACCCTCTTGTATGAGACGGTCTGTTCACTACATTCACTGTGTGTATTACTCTACTCAGAATATCTTAAAATAACCTTAAATGAGAAGTTAGATGGAATTACACATCTTGTAACTTAGAAATTGTGTGCAATTAATTTTCTTTCTAAAAGTAGATGTATCTACTCTTGGAAAGAACCAACTCCCTGAGGGCCAATTCTCATGACCACCTCTCGGAAGTGACCACTAACCCTTAGCATTTTGGGTGGATGCTTACAGGAGGTTCAACTGTATTTCATTTTCAATATGACCAGTCTGACTTTTGGAGAGCGCCCTTTAATCTGCTTACCTTAGCATGTTTGTCCAAACCATAAGCGGCAGCAGCGGCATAAGCAGCATCTCTTTGCTGCTGCATCAGCTGCCATTCTGCACCATACATGGCTGAATACGCATCATAAGGATACTGCTGTCCATATGGAAACTGTTGCTGCCTTGCAGCCGCAGCAGCAGCGGCTGCTAGATTAGCTCCCTGGGCGGCAGCTGCAGCAGCAGCTGCTGCTCCCATGGCATTGAATCCCGGTGGTCGCATCGCTGCATTGGCTACTTCCATGTTGGGCACTGTAACACGATGACCAATTACGATCCTTTCAGGTTCTGACATGGAGACATCAGCATTCATCCCTTGAGGACGTATTCCTTGCTGCATGGCTCCTGGGTGCATAGGGCCTCCAGGGGGTACACCTGAAGATGACATGGCTGGTGAGGGTCCTCTTGGTGGCATGCTCTGATGCTGTTGACCTGGTAAGGGACCAGGACCTCCCGGACCACTGCCATGATGTCCAAGTCCTCCTTGCACTAGGCCACGCCCCGGCATGGGGCCAGTGGGGCCATGTGGTGGCATTGCATTTGGTGCTCCTGGAAGCATACCCTAAAATTCACAATCAAAGACATTCCATTCAGCACTGAGCAGTTTTCAGCACTTCAGAAAATGACAGTTGCGTTTTCCCCCCCGATATGATTTTGAGAAGTCTTGATAGTGTAGTTTACAGAGGTAAAGAAATAATTCTCACCCTTGGTGGCAGTTGAACACCAGGGCCCATTCCATGGGGTTGTCTCATGTCACCTTCAGGAAAGTGCCCAGGGCCAGGTCTTGGGCTTGGTCCTTGTCCATGGCCTTGTCCAGGACCTGGGAGGGGTCCAAGTCCCCCTGGGCCCATAGGGCGTGGGCCATGTTCAGGAGTCATTCCAGGTCTGGGTCCCTGTTCTGGTAGGGGTCCTCTGGGACCTCCAGGAGGTGGTCCCCTAGGACCAAAGTCTCCTCCTCCAGGGCCTGGTGGGAAAGCACCTTCTTGACGCACTGGACCAGGATGGGGTGCAGGCATACGGGACCCTGGCATATCGGGTCTTGGAGGAGCCATGTGAGGTCCTCGCATAGGACCTGGGCCTGTTATGGAAAAGAAAAACACAATAAGTTATCTGGGAACATGATGCACTATACAATATTAGCAGAACCACACAGCAAACTGCCAAACATTTTTACACAACGAAGTATTAATTTTCATTTTAGACAGTCTCATTAGAGTCTAAGCATTCTAATGGTCCCCTAAAGAAACAATTTAATCAAGCTGCTACAGTTACCATAGCCTACTCTGTCTCAACTTTCACTTGAGCCTTAAAAAAAACACTCCTACTTCAGCTCGCTTGGAAACCTTCTTGAAAAGTAACTGAAATCTCTGTAAATCATTCTAAGAGAGTACATGGATATCTACCTACACTAGGTACAGTACATGTAAGTCATAACAGTACTCATTAGACAGACACACCTGAGGTGGACGGTGCCCTCATTTCACACCCCCATCTCTCCATCACTGCTCATTTTTACAGGTATTTAAAGGAATTAAAGCTTAATGGTAAGGAAAGAAGTCAAAACAGGGATTTGAGGCCACACCTGGGAATCCAACCTCCCACACAGAAGGCCTTGTACTAACTAACTCTGATAATCCGTACTCATAATATAAGATTTTCTTTTTGCCTAAGAGCAGAAGTAAGAAACTAAGAGCCATCAAGTGCTGTTAGAACTTAAAGCCATGTGATGAAGACATTAACTACCTTCTGGCATTCCTCTTCCACCAGGTGGGGGTCTAAAATGAGGGTTGATATGGATGTTCTTTCCCTGTGGTGGCCCTGAAAACAAACAATAAATATTAGGCAAGTTTTGATTAGAATTTAATCTCAGTGAAAAGATAATAATATCTTAAGGACCAATGATCCTCAACAAGGTCTTGAGTGATGTTAGGCTGCAATGCATGCATCTTTGGGAGGCAAACAAGCACTGGAATTTTCTTAGATCAGGCTGCACCAGTCACAGGGGGTGGGAAAGGAATGAGTGAAGGGATGGGGGGGAGGGTGGGATGGAGATTAGCATTAAAACTCTTCATCCATTTCACCTCTCTTCTTTTAACACTACCCAATCTTCCTTTGCTTTAAAAAATAGAGGAAACATTTACAGCTTGCTTGCCTGAAAATACAGCTGCACTGCAGGCTAAGACGATGCACAAAACTTTCAAATAAAAAGAGCAGATTGTGATATACAAATCTTTATCTTCTGCAAACTTACTTGGTGGTCCTGGCATATGACCATCAGGGGGTCCAGGCATGTGACCAGGAAATGGACCATTTGGTCCCATTGGAAAACGGGGTCTGGGACCAAATCCAGGATCATGTTCTGGCCCTGGTCCCATTCCCGGTCTGGGTCCATGCATGAAGGGTTCAGGTCCCCTTGGGGGGAAGGGTGGATGCATCCCTGGCCGAATCATCCCGGGTGGGGGTGGTCCCCTGAAAGAAAAATAAAATCCTCAGCTAAACATTTGATTTCTATCAATGCCAGTACACTACACACAGTGTTGACTGAATGAGTACACAATAGCAATGGAACAACTGATAACAGAGTGGAGAACACCATGGTTGTATGCACACCTGGTAATCTTGCATTGAAAATAAGGTAAAAAAAAAAAGGGGCTGCATGGTTTTAGTCCAATTAACAGAAGCTGTGATTTTGTCAAAAAAAAAGAAACAACAGTGACTGTTGGGTGCTGAAAATAACTGTAATTTACAAAGTACATTGTAGATCCTTTAATAAACTGTAGACGTCACTCATAGAAGGTGAAATAAAAATAAGAGTTATCATTTTCATACATCATTGGTCCCCCTCGTCCACGCCCCCGTCCTTGATCTCTTCTGAACCAGTTTCTGTCATCTTGTTTTCTGAAGTCTCTCCCTAGCAAAGAAAAAAATGTTGATTAAATGTTGTTATTGTTGTTTTTATTGTTATTAATTTTCTATTGCAAGGTACTACATTTCACAACATTCTTCAGTGCAATATAAAATTAATGGTGTCTCTTGATAGGAGAGTACACAGTAGATGGTAAGATCCTAAAGCCAGACATACCAGTTCGTAAAAAGTAATCACAGTCGTGAGTGAAGACTCTCTCACTGAATACTGCTAAGGAGACTCACAAATAGCGAAAAAAGAAAAGCCCCATTTGAACTCTTATCATTTCCAAATTGATGCAACCTAATGAGCGGCCATTCTATAACAAACAGCGATTTAAAGTTCTGCCATTGAATTTTTTCTGATTTCTGAACTCCTGCAAGTGGACACCTATAAGAACCATTCCAGCAGGCTCATAAACTTCACATTGTCATTAAATTTTGATTGTGCAGGACTGTTGCTAAGATTTCAAGTTGCTGGGTATATGCAATTAGTAGCCAGGAGGTTGAACAGCTAGGAAGTTCTTTTGGTTTTAATGAAAGTAGCGTGGTTCATGCTCATAGTAATCAGGGGAAATCCCTGGCCCTAAGATCTTAGTGACAGCCCTTCTCAGAGCTTCGAGTACCCTGGTCCTATTCAACATACTTGGTTCATGTTTTTCAATTTTGTGTTGCTCTTTAGGTCTCTCAGACTTGAAACGCTGCCTTGTCTTCTTCCCTTCATCTTCACTGTCACTGTCATTCTTAATTTCTTTTTTCACCATAGCAACCGGAGTTGTCTCCTTTTTACTATCCTCCGCACCTTTGAATAATTATTAATAATGATTAATATTAATCCATCACTTTAGTTCACAGCAGACAATTAATAAAATTGTATCCCTACCCAACACCGTATGTAGCTTTGAATGAACATGAAAAGTTGGGGATGGTTTTGTCTGGGTGGCCAGCTTGCTTCAAAAACCATTTCAACTTGTTAACATTGAGAAAAAAGACAATAAATATTACTCAAAACTTGAACGAAGGTTGTTGTATCAAGCTGAAATAAGTATCAACAAACCTTCACAGAGATTGTTCTGGTTTGGTGAGTTGGGTATCGAGAATCAAGATGCAACAATCATGAATTAAGTTTCAATGTTGACTCCATTCTTGATTCATACATGGATTGAGCATAGCGTGGTAACTTTTGAGTGGTAATGTATGTCTCCAACATCTTTAAAAAGGTACCTTTCTGAGGAGTTTTCTTGCTGCTCTCAGCGGCTCCTTCAGAGAGCCCCTTGATCTCTTTGTCAATGTCATCTAACTCATCATCACCATGTATGCTTACAGCATCCAGGTCAACATTATTTGCCCTGCAAAAATCCTGTGAGGTTAGCGTGATTTTAAACTAGATTGCCCTCCACTTAGTGCAAGTACCATTGATTATCACCCAAAACATTTTAGGAGATTTGGTTCAAGCATGGCAGCTGCCAATGGTCATAAAATGTAAATGCTAGAATTTTACCAAGTCTAATTTTCATAAAATAGAAATCACGGTGACGGCAGTATATGCAAATAGATATTTAAAATTTCAGAAAAAGCAGATAGATCTGATGAAGATCTATGATTGTTCCACTGGAAAATAAATTACTGATTACAAGAGCATCAACAGACAAAACTCTCAAGAAAAAGATGAGAAAATAATAACTAACCCATCCCCTTCGTCATCACTCTTCAACAATTTTTCCTCATCAAGCTCCTCCAAATCATCTTCTGACTTCCTGGCCTGAAATAATATGTTCAAACGCAATAGATATAGCAATTTATTTCGTTATGAAGACACCACAAAAAAGCTTCAGCATAGTTAGCTCAAAATACTACAAGTAGCTGACGACACTAGCCTGAAATATGTAGAGATGTAATAATCTATCAATTATTGATAGATATACATATATGATTAATCTTATATGTTTTAAGGTACTTAACAATTTAGCTCCTGCTTTACTGGTAGAACTATTGTGTGTTTATGAAACTGTGAGGTGCCTTCACTCATCTTCTGACAAATGGCGATTTGTTAATAAACCCTATAACCTAAAGACAAACAGTCTCAGGGCCCTATCAGTCCTTGCCCCTCTCCTCTGGAATTCTTTGCCTACTGATATTAGATTGATCGACAATGTAAGTTAATTTAATTCTAAGCTGAAGACCTATCTTTTTAAGCAAGTTTATGAACTATCTTATGATTTTATTTTTTATCATTTTTTTTGTTTGTTTGTGTTTCTGCTACAATGTAAAAATTATATGTAAATTAGTCTAGAATTTTATTTTTTATACGCATTTTTATAGCACTGTAAAGCGCTTTACAAATATTTTATTATTATTATGATACACCAATTATTTGTTTCATAATGGAGACACCACAAAAAAGCTTAAGCATATTAAGCCAAAGTACTACAAGTATCTGATACCACGGTGTTATATGTATTTTATTTTTTAAGGGGCTGTGTCATGGCTGTTCATTTTGCTTATACATGTATTGCTATTTACACCTCCTTATTCACGACGGAACTTAATGTTAGTGACAAAATTATTGGTTAATTACAAAATCACAGCTTCATGGCAAAGAAATAAATTCTCCCAAGCATTAAATCAAACATTTTAAGCATCAAAAATATTTCAGTGACAATTCCCACTGTTTGATTCAGACTCGATGAATTTTGTAACATAGCACTTTTTTCCAGTACTCAAATGTACATGGGTAGGATGAACAAAAGTGTCATCAGAGCTATTGATGTTTATGCTGCACATATACATGGGAGGCAAGTGTTCTCACAGCTACAACATTGGTGGATAGACTTCATGTTCATTTGTATAATGTAGCTTCTGAATTGCCTTAGAAAATTTCGTACCTTTTTGGCTGTTGGCCCAGAGTCTTCTACAGTTTTAGAATCTTCTTTTCTAAGACACAAAATTAAGAATAAGTCAAAAGATAGGTTTCTCAAAACATGCATGGATCTTGAATCCAAGGTTTAAAGACTTTTTAACGCCACTAAATTCTGCTTCATAATATGCTGGGCTTATAGAGCTCAAAATTACCAAACCTTTGCCCAAGTAAAATCTTACGCTCCCTTGAAACTACAGGCTGTATAACTTTTAAGCACTCATACATTATATCACCACTGAGCTCAAGCTAAGGCGTAATGTTCTGAACTAGCTCCTAATTACCAGTGATGACTTTGTTGATGTTTCACAAACTGAAACCTTAAATTCTTAACATTGACTTACTACCATACATCACAAAATTTCACGATTTTTTACATATATCTTTTTACATGTACAAAAGGAGGCATGCGTGGCCAAGCGGTTAACACCTCGGACTGCAGGTCTGAAGGTTTTCAAGCCTTGCCAGTAACATTGTTTCCTTAGCCAAGGAACTTCACTCCACTTTGTATCTCTTCACCCAGGTGTATAAATGGGTACCGGTGACATGCTGCTGGGGGGTAACCCTCGGACTAGCATCCCATCCAGGAGTAGCAATACTTTTAAGCTTGCTTCATAATAAGGAAACTGAGATAAGCTCCAGCCATTGAGCCTTTAGGCCATGTGCGCCTTTTCATTTTTACAAGGACCGACATCAAAGGCAATTTTACTTACTTTGGTTTATTGTTAATGGCTGGGCTCTTCTTCACTTTTGGACTTTCTCTACTTGTTTGCCGTTGCATCTGTTGTTTTCCAGGTCTCCTCCCTCTGCCCCTATCACCCCACATATGTGGCCCATCATGATCTACTGGAGGCATCCTTGGTCGCATGTGACCTGGAGGCATACCCATGGGACCTGGAGGACCAGGAGGGCCAGGCATAGGACCTCGCATCATGGGCCCATGGGGTCCACGAGGGTGTGGTCCAGGGGGACCCATCATCATAGGACCTGGTGGTCTTGGCATGGGACCACCCGGTGGCATACGGGGCCCATGTGGTCCCCCAGGACCAAATGGAGGAATTGGGTGTGGTCCACGATGCCTGAAGGGTGGTCTTGGACCCCGCATTCCATGTTCTGAATAATAGAGACAAATGAAAGAGTTGAATACATAGTGTAAAGACATAAACCATTACAGTAAAATAAACTATATATACTTATATAAATTGCAACAGTAAATCGCTGACCCAGGGGAAACGGAAATTTCCCCACAAAAGGCCTAGTACAGTAAAGCAAACCCTGGCAAAAAAGTCAGAGCATAGGATAACTGCCAGCTCGCCAAAGCATGCCAGTAAAACACTAACAAACGCAAACGCCACACCACTGCCACGCTAACTCCAGGCCAACTACTGAGCAGCTAGCTACTCGTCATTAACTAAGTTAAATAAGTACCTTTAACCTGATTAAAAATAATTATTATTACCAAAGTCAACTCCAAGACTTCCAAGCTCATCTGTTAAAAATAAATAAAGCAAAATAATCAAGAAAGAGACACATATTTTATTGCTCTCAAAGGACAGTGCCTCCTTTGACAATGCCTTTTCATACATTTTTTGGCTTGGATTATGAAAGGGGAGAAGAAGAAAGGACTAAAAGGAAAAACAAAAATAAGATAGGGCCAAATGTGCAGTTTTCACTTTTTCTACTGACCTCTAAATTTATGAAAATTGCCTTTAAATGCATTGTTGTATATCTCCCAGATTTTAACCCATAACTATCTCTGCTTATTACCACCAAAAATATTTTGTGCATGGACATTCAGTTTTCAATACACCAGGATGTCAAAAGATATTTTTCTGCAGCTGCAGCAATTTTTGATTGAAGGCACTGTCCTGCAAATGTGTAGGCTGCAATCAATACCAAAACCAAAAAATTGAGGGGTTAGACCGGGGCCATTTCCTCTTTAAAAAATTAATATAAACATTTGGCAGTGATAATTTACTAGCTTAGGAGACCTCAAAAGCATTTATACAAGTTCTGCTCACGATAAAAATCGATCAATTTTAACTCTTTTGAAAAACTGAATCTGTGGACGAGAATCGAATGTTGACAACTGATTGACAATTCTCATGATTGATGCACGCGGATATGACTCAATGTCGTTCTGAAACTGACAATAACGCGTGCATTTTTTCTCTTGGTGAAAGGAGTACTTCATTCATACCATAAAATACGATCAGTGCGATGTCTAAACATGCTTAAGTTACTTATTGATATTTTGAGTACTTTACAAGATGAAATATTGTTGCTCACTCTAACCACGAGGTACATGTAGATTAGACTTAATCAGGTCGGGCTCGCTTTGTCATAAACGAAGACACTTACCTTCGTGGATTTCTGAAAAGTCCATGCTTTAGTTCTTAATGGACGACACAGCTTTGCTTGCTAAAGAAATGGCATTTGAAATTGGTCTAAATGGTGACTCTAGGGTACGTGATCCTTGCAAAATGCAGCAAAATTTGAGAAATTTCACGTCAAAAAATCCGCCGCCATTTTCATTCCACACTTTATCGATTCGAAGGAACATAAGCGAGGTTACACAGTGCCTTTCCGAAAGCGAGGCTGGGATGAAAACTGTGGGTGGGGAGGGTCGGGAATTTTCTCAAAATGGAAAACTGAGGTTTAGGCTTACAGAGGGAATAAAGAAAATATTATCAAAATGCTTTTAAAAAGCCAAATTCATGTTTTTTAACCTCAAGAAAACGTTATGCAAAGATAGCTCAAAAACAAATTTCAAGTTTTATTCTCTCAATTATGTTTTATTACTAGTATATAAATTTAAAACACCTCAATTTAATTTTCTCCAATATGAAAGCAATTCTTTTCTATCTTTGATATTCAAGACCATGTTTTTTTTACATGAAAGAAGGAAAAAACTAAAGTAGCCCCGAAATAGTGCAGGTGAGGCCGAATTGCATTATGGTCTCTGTTACATTCTTCATTATACAGTAAGTAATGATGGCCGCGAATCATTGGCAAGTACTTTAGCATTTCGCTCTGGTTTAGCTGTTTTTCTTAGACTTTTTCAGTATAACAGAAAAATTTTGACATCCATGGATCAGAAAGTGGCAAAGAAAACCCAAGACACGCTAGGGAAGGTCATAAAGAAACCTCCTCTTACAGATAAATTGCTGAGCAAGCCTCCATTCCGATTTCTTCATGACATAATTACCGAGGTACTCTGTTACTTGCAATTTTCATGCTTTATTCATAGAGTGAACACTTTTCTTATGCTTTTCTGTTTTGAACGAAATTTTAGGTTATCAGGAACACTGGATTTCTCAAAGGCTTGTACACTCCAGATGAGATGGACTCGGCGAATGTCAAGGTACACTTCACTCGGCGTCCGCTAAAACGAAGTGTTATTTTTATTGGCTGTATTTCTCCTTTTCTCTGATTGACCACGATCGTGAGTTTTATTGACTTAACAGATCGTTTATCTCCTTTTTTCTTCGAAGGATAAAGAAGCTAAGATTGCATTTCTTCAGAAAGCGATAGACGTCGTAGGTAAGGCTCGAAAATGGCTCCTGTTGTGTGTTGCTAAGTTACGCAGCAACATCGATAGGAGTTTTTTTCCCTCGAAAACCTGTTCATTGCGAAACCCTTTAAGTATAACTGTCCAAGTTTTAGAAAGCCCTTTCATACGTTTAGCGGTGTTGTGTCTTCCAGGCAATAACAGAGGAAAAAATAGAGTTTCTTGTGTCGAGGAGCTGAGCTTAACACGACATCGGTCGACCATGTCGTGGTCCCATGAAAGAATTTTGTAACTACAATATTTATATATTGATACGATCTTTGGCTTTTACGTACGGGCATATAACCTTTGGAAATAAACGATGAAATTTTAAAGCTAGAGGCTTGTGAGGGTCGTTGTCTCTTGCATGATGTAAGACCCCATAGAAGTCTCGTATTCTTTTTGCGACTGGCACCTTGGTGTCAAATCTTACAGTTTGATGCGATCCTATTTGTAAAATTATTTTTCGCAAGATACTTGTCTCATTTACACAGCTGTTCTTTACCAGAAAAAAAATCCATACCTCTTAATAAATATCTCTCACATTTGATTCATTGTGATAGCACATAAACAGATTTCTTTGCTTACCCCACAAGCTTTCTAGCTTTAACTCTAATCGTGTCAAAATACTGGTTTTATGTTTATGTTTTTGGTTATAATGGTAAAATAATACACAACGGGCAAGAATATGCAGATTGTATTAAAATTTAATTGAAAAAAAATGTAAACTTTTAATAGTTTTCCTATTTATTGAAGTTCAGAGTACAGTCAACTCTTGCCTTGTGGACACCTTGCCATAACGAATACCTGATAATACCGACAGCAGCTAAACCCCAGGCTTAAATATATTACAGATATTTGACTGAAATAAACTCCAGTTATTACAGACTCTCGTCAATGAGGACACTAACTTGAGGTCCCTACAGCGTCTGTTATAAAGAGAGTTGACTGTATTTCTTGAATGCTCTAAAAAAAATTAAAGGGAGCCCGGTGCTCTGAACTCGTGAAATCCAGGGTGGCCAGCCTACGATTTGTATGAAAAAGCAAAGATTTCCCATAGTTGAACCTCACCACAACAGCCACCTTTGGGACAGAGTAAAGTGGCCATTATAGAGGTGGGTGGCCCTTGTGGAGAGGTTTAAACAAGAGTCGACGTATAGATTATTATTTTGTTCACCAGGACAAAAAAGGTGGCCATTGTGGAGAGGTGGCTGCTAGTGGGGGTTCAACTGTAGTTACGTAAGAGCAAAAATAAGGTGCCAGGGGCCATTGGGGCTACTAGAGCATGGCCCTGTAATAATTTTATTTATTTATTTTATTTATTTATTTATTTATTGGTCCTTTCAGAGGTGAAGAAATAATAATATTAGTGTTCCTCTTAGCAGTGTTCTCCTTAGCAGGTGGTAACCGGTAAAACTTACCGCCTGAAGCAATGCTTCTTACCGCCTGCAACCGCTTGAAGGTTTACTGAAATTAAAAAAAGTAGATTTTAAAAAAAGGAAGTTGTGATCCGACTGGATTCTCACAAGGAAAATGAATATAAATTAATATACATAGAAAAGTACTAAAGCATACACAGCTTTTCTTTTTATGGGCCACGCATTTTGGAAAGAGAACATTGAAGACTTAGTAAAATTATTGGAATCAAACATTTTAAATTGATGTCTTAATGGCCGATTTGCATATAGTAGGTCTCAAAATAAGGGAATGACATTTCAGAGAAAGTGTGCCTCTGGCACAAAATTACTGAGTTAAAAATTAGGGAGAACACTGCTATTAGGTTTGAGAGATTGTGATTTATCCCATTTTCCCATTTTGTATGAAGTTGTTTACACTGTAGATACAGTTTTTACTAAGGGTTAAGGGAAATGGTTTTTAAAAACTTAAGGTAATTCATTCTCTTCCTCCTACCCATAAAGTTTACCATTTCTTTACCAAGCCTTTTTTAACATTTAGGCATGATAAATGGCCAGCTATCTGTGCGTCCCTCAAAAATTGTGGCTGGCCATGAACCTGAAAAGACAAATGAGTTCTTACAGTCAATGGGCACAGCAATTTTGAACAAAGTAAGTTAAACTATACTATCTCTTACTTTATTCCAGTATGATTGTGTAAATACATGGTGTGAAATATCTGTTAAAAGTCAACATTAACTTCAGTTTAAAATTTTTCCACTTAGGTTGATGTTCAATTTCCTTTTTCTCCTAGCCCTAATTCATGAATAATGATTAGGGCTAGCTATAGGAGATAAAAGAAAATTGAGCTTTAAGTTAAAAAATATTAACCTGAAGTTAATTTTGGCCTGTAACATATCCACTAATATTTGATGTTTTAAAATTTCAGCTATAGAAATATTTTTTTTTATTATGCTGCTACATTGCAGTAGAGGAGTGAAACGGAAAAATTTGGTTTAATTGGTTTCCTTTAAAAGTACACTCTACAAAGACTTAAACTGGCTTTTACCAATTCAATTTACTGTAATTTGTTTCTCCACTTGTAGAAAAGCAGCTCTGATGCAGTGAAAAAAGTATTAGCAGGAGAAAAGCCTGGTAAAGAGTCAAGGTAAAAAAAAATATTTATTGTCAAAATACATTTAGGCAAGCCTGTTCATGAAATAGTGATATTCAAAACAAAGTATTGACTAGCACAATTAACATTTATCAAGTGAGTGTCCCTCCTTTGGCTTCAAATATGCTGTATGTATTAATGTGAATGTCCTCGTATTTTGCAGGTCAGCTAAAGAAAACTGAACTCAACCCAAATACATAATTCTCTGAAATTTACTGCTTCGGATTAACCAACCCCCCCTCGGATCCCCCTCCCCTCCATCACACTCCCCTCTGGAATTTCCAACCCCTTTTACAGGATGGATAGTAAAATTTATAGATGCAACTAGATAAAAAGAGTCGTAGTCCATGCTGAAACCTCCAGCCTGTTTATCTCAAATTGGGCCAGAAATTTCAGCCCTGTCAATTAAGCGGAAAAGCATCTATGTAATTTGAGCACAGATGAACTTGTCATACACACTGCTCTGCTTTTGAACACTTGGGGTTTTAGCATTTAAATGTGTTAAGGGGTTAGCCCCTAGCTACATTTGTCATAGATTTAAGACACGTGATTGCGTTCATGACCGTAATACTAGATATAAGAATAACTTGAATATCCCAGCTTATCAGTCAGCTTCTGGGCAACACACATTTTTATACCGTGCAACGAGTTTCTGGAATTCTCTTCCATATGAAATAAGAGGATGTGATAATTTGCCAATCTTCAAGAGACATTTAAAGGAATTTCGCAGTAGTTTTTAATTAGTAATGTGATATATTTTAACATCTATTAGAATTTTAGATTTTTAATTTTAATGTATTTAGTATTGATTGTAATTAGTTTTTAAAACCCATTTAGTGGAAAACTAATAAACACATAACATAACAAGATCTTTTCTGGCAGATTTTCCCACCCAGTTTGAATTATTGCACCTGTGTTGAAATTGCTATGTACGGTAATCTCAATCACAGAGTGAAATTTTATCTCTGGTTAAAATTCACCTATGTGTAATTGGCCCCTTTGTCCAATGTTATTTTTAGTGATGGCAAAAGAAAGGAATCAAGAACTGGAAGTGGAGGTAAAGAGAGAGAAAGATCAAAGGAACGGGACAAAACAGAGAAGGAAAGAGAAAAAAGTAGAGATAGAGACAAAGAGAATGATAAAGACAAGGACAGGCGTAAACAGGTATTTTGTTCATGTTGATTTTCAGCTGAGCTCCACCCACGCACTTTGCACAAGCGAGCGGAAACCCACAGCTAAGAAAATTTGGTTATCTAATTCATATGAGAGATTTTGGTAGTCATGTGTCAGTGACCATATGTCCCCACCATAGGGCAACCATTGTGAAATCTCACTTTTTCTAATTAGTGTGGTGAGCCTGTGACCTGATATTGCAGATCCATGTTGTGGTCAATTGATAACTGTCAAAACAGGGTATCTGCTGACCAGTATCACATACTGTAGTATGGGCTCA